ACTGAGCATTCGGAGCTATCCATGTCCATCTTCTCGCTGGTCTTTTTTTGAATAGGCTGTTGCCAATGTAGAGTTTATTCGTCTCGGCAAAATGTTTCACAATAAATGTAACGAATTTCACAAACGGGACGAATCCACTGAGCATCACAACCTTTCGAATACGTTAAACCAATGAAAATAATGGCACAAACAAACCGATTTGACACGATGTCCAATTCCCATGATATGTTTCCCGATTCGGCGTTGTTCATTCACGAACTGCATTGGGCTCCATCCCTTATCTACCGCCTCACTGAACTGGCGTGCTGCACCGTCCAGTGCACCACCAAAACGATCACCCTTTAAATATCATATCACAGTTTCACTTCACCACTGTTTTATCCCAAATAACATTATTTGATCTCAACTAGAACCCAACAACTCAGAAACCATCCTTCATATGGACGCCAAATTTCATTTATTTATTCACATGAAAATACACGCGACAATCCGTTAAATCCGCTAAGTTTAATACAATGACAACAGCATGGTAAATGTACAGCTGGGCTGACTGAAATTCCCGAAAGACTACTTGTATTTACTACCAGTTACATCAAAAAATTCAAAAACTGTTGAGAGGAATAGCTTTCGAGCAAATAGCCAAGCACTTCAACTAAAAGAATACTCAAAACTCACAATCGTAAGCAGGCCCGATACCAACGACGATATCAAGTCTTTACCAGCACGTGCACAAACAATCGTGTTATGTGCGCCACTCACCGCCGGTCCGTGATCGGCCGTCAACATCAAACAAATTTCGATGAATTTATTCGCATATTCCGGCAGTCTTTTCTGCAAATTACACGTCATAATCAATATGAATCTCACAAAGAAACACACAAAATATATCACTGGTTCAGCAGATTCGGTAGATTGAAAGTTTAATAGAAATGGAAATGAGAAAGTTTCCAACCTGGAACCAAAGTAGTCCGAGAACACCTCCAATCCCTAAACCTTGTTCCAGCACACGGGTGATTGGGACACCAGCATAGAGCAGCTCTTCACCACGTTCGTCGCATATCGATGTCATGAACGAAGCTGGCTTGCGGATTAAACCCAATTCCTAAACAACTTCCATCAGTAGTTATCTCGAAACTGTCTGTTCTTTATGAATAAAATAATATCTATCTGCAATAAAAACAATATCAAAAATACACGAATCAATCAAATGAATGGCTCGTTCATTAATTTGAATCGACAAATATTATTGCCTTTAAGAAAGCACAAAAAATAAATGAGCATCTAAATAAATCAAAGAATCGCTTATACAATAAATAACTCACTCTTGCCCACGCATAATCCATCGGTACAGCCGGAGGTGGCCGTTCTTCCTTTGGTCTGATTACACCCTTCTCCAACAGATCATTGTAGACAGACGCAATTTGAGTGCCCAAATCGTCGAAAGAAGCCGGCACGTAGGCTCCAGCCTCTCGCAATGCCGCATTCTTAGCTGCAGCTGTTTCAGATTTTGCGTTTGCTGATGCACCAGCGTGACCGAATTGAACCTTTAATAAATCATCCAATTATTTTCGTAATAACATCCAGTCTTGGATTGCAACTAAAATCTAAACATTCATTATCAGAATGACATAAAAAGATTATTCATTATGTATCAAGAGAACGACTTGTACGCATATCTCTAAGCATTCTGTAACCGTTTCTGACGTACACACTGAAAAGACAACGCTCTGTATCTCCTTTCCTATCAATACGATCGAATTTAACAAAATCAAAAAACAAATCGAAAGCAAACCTCAGAAGTGATATAGTCAGCACACGTTCCAATGCACCATGCAACCAACGGTTTCGTTATCTTCTTCTCTTTCAACGCCTTCACAATTTTGTACTCCTCTTCACCGCCAACTTCGCCCAGCATCACCATCATTTTTACTCTGAAATAATTCGCCATTTAAAAGATATCGTAAAATCAAGAAAAGATTTCTCATAAAATTAATTCTATTGCTCAAAACAAAGACGCATTCAGTTAATGAAACGAACCTCTCATCCTTTTCATATCTCAGAATATGATCAGTATAGGTACTGCCCGGATAACGGTCACCACCAATAGCGATTCCTTCAAATACACCATCGGTATTCTGACCAATGATATTATTCAGTTCATTCGACATTCCTCCTGATCTCGATACATATGCCACACTGCAATTAATATTTTCATTATAAAATTAGCCGATTAATGTATGAAAATTTCAAATGAGATCTACTTTTTACAAAGAAAACAATGGATGAATACACTCGACCAAGCCATAAAGAACGGAATTTCAATTGCTTTGAAACCTTTAACTATATAATAAAAAGTTCTATCGATTCCAATTCCCCTACGCCAAACATTTAAACAACAATTATCGAAAAGAGGAACATTCAATCATCCATTCACAAAACTGGGAATACCCACTAAAAACAATCGTTTTTCTTATAACAGTTAAGCGTTTCAATAAAGCCTAAAATCACCGCATATTCACCTAACCAACAACGAGAATCGATAACACTAGAGTGCAGTTCAAGTAAACAAATGTGCTGTGTAGAGTGACGAACCTTCCGGGTCGATAGAGTTTTGATGCCAAAATGTTGTCCATCATACCACCTGTATTACCGATCTTGAAACATCCCGGCTTTATTCCACCTACTGTTGCCGGACCAATGATAGTGACCTGCTTCTCGTTGGCCACCTAAAACTATCGAAACGAATGAACACTCCGACGAATCTGCTCGAAATGCCTTATTGCGAGCAAAATGATATGCAGCTAAATGAAACTGCGAAAACAACAGTGATAAGCAGTGATAACCAAATACGATCAACAATTGATGCAATCATCAGCTGAATGATAAGCATTTAAAAACTGAATGTTTTTTAAAGTTTCAGCAAAACAATCACAAAATCTGAACCAACCGAACCAAAAAATCAAACCTTAATCAATCGTCTCGTCAAGTTTTCCGGTACTCCTTCAGCGATGATTGCAATCACTCGAATTTGTGGATATTCCAGAGCCTCAAGAACGGTCTCGTAAACGGATCGCAGTGAAGCGAATGTGACCATTACTGATGCCTCCGGATGACTCACGAAAGCGCTCTTCATCGATTTATACGCCGGAATAAGGATTTCCTTAAAAAAGAGAAAAGAGATTGCATGACATAAAACTTGCATACAGGAAATATAAATAAAGAAATCAACCTAGAAGAACATTTTGTAAAGTATCATCGTAAATGAAACTGTAAGACGAGTTATGATATGATTTAAAATTTGACTAGAAATAATCTCAGAGTCGAAAACAGTTTCGCAAATTTAATCGTAACGAAGAACTGAATCAAATAAGATTCAATGCTAAAATTCGTATGCTAAAACATTCCCCCAAAACTATCAATGCAACTGGACAAAAGAAATGTTTTGGAACAAAAAATACGTTTGCATCAATTGAATTCACGAATCCGCAAATATACAAGAAAATATTTTTAAAGACCAAAATTAAACGCGCAACCCATAAAAACGTTTTCAAAAGCAATTGATGTAACTGACCTTATGCCCGAAGTAGAACTTTTGTTTGTGGTCTCCAGTGAACGGATAAGTTGATGCAATAACCGATGGGCATTCTCGTCCGCACACAAAATCAAAATCTAACATTCCCTGTAAAAACACAACCTTAATAATGATCTGTACTGAATCAACAATTCTGATCTTACTCAAATAGTTAACAAATACCTCGCACTGAACCAAACGTTAAATCAATCGATTTCGCACATTATATCACGTAACGCAATACGAAATTTATATAAGAAATAATCAGCAACAATCCAATCACTACTTACATGATAACGTCAAAATCAAACGAAATTTGAAATGTTATATATCCAATTGAACAAATTTGTTGAGTACCAAACGAAAACAAATTTCCATTGCAACAAACCTGAACAGCTTTAATTTGCTGTCCCCAAATGATCGCCTTCGTATCCGACTCGAACAAACTGCCGTATAAATCCATTGCATTCATTACTCCGTTAGCGCCTTCCACTTGGGAATCACCAGCTGACGCAACTCGTGGCTGTTTACGACGTGGCGATGTTGGCACATTTGAGACTGGAGCTGATGGCACGGTTCCGGCCGTCTGAATAAGCATTTTCATTGTTAATCTTGAAAACCTTTCGACTCTCAAACATCAGCACTGCTCAAAGCACAGTGAGAATGGAATCTGATGGAAATGTGAAGAAATTCATGCATCTATTAAACGAACGAACAAACAAATTCCCAATTTCAACGTGGCTCATTTAAATTCAAATTGTTCTACGAGAAATGGATAGGAAAATCGACGATGTACAAAGTTTCAAGCAAAGATTCTGCTGGATCAAATGGTGTACATAAAGTCATATGTTAATGAGCAAACTTGAGAGTGCGGTAGGCTTGAAGGTGGCACCCACATAGCCTTAAAAATACCTATCTAGATCCTTTAAAATATTACACTCAATCATGAATCTCTCAATTCTCAAAAGTGAATTACTGGACAGAGATGGATGGCATCACGTACATTGCGTTCTGGTTGCAGTAAGAACTGTCCAGTTGTCTGTGGAGCGTGCGGTGTATCGGGTAGAGGTTTCAAGCCCAAAGCTGCCGCAACTATACTCGTCATATGCGTTTCTGGACCATAGACGTATATTGGCAAATTCAATTTTATGCCTGTAATTATTAAAATTCAAAAAAATTTTTAATATCAACAAAACACATCTGATTCTAATAAAAATGTATAGAATAACAACACAATCACTAACTGAAACAGAATCAAATGAGATATTCAAAAGCAATCAACTGCACTCGTTGATAACAATTTGAAAAACAATCGTATCGACATTTTGCAACCCAAACATTCACTTTTAACGAATCATTTAACGATTCATTGTCTTCTTCATGAAATAAACAACTTCCAAATTAAAAAACTTCACACAAAAACTCAGTGAAACTTACCGCTTTCTTTCATTTTTCGTAAACCCTCTTGGTAGTTTGGTCCTCCACGTCGTACATAAATTGTTACTTTATGTTCGCGTAACTTCTCTTGGAATGCTTCAAACGCGCGAACAATACCCTGAAGTTTAAAATTCTTTAACTACTAGAATTTATCCATCAAGGGAAAGAGAATCAACAGGTAAGATGAGAATTCCGGCACATGGAATCAACGTGCATCAAGAATTTCGCACAAAAGAAAAGTCCGAAGATTACCAAAAATGAACCAAAAATACAGCTGAATATATCACACAAACCTTGAATGTCATTGAAACGTTGGTGAAATTAGCAATCGACCCGCCAATAATCAGCACTTTACCATCGGGTCTTGGCGCACCTTCAGTCATAATACCAAGAATAGTTTTCGCATATTCAAAAGTCTGTGTTTCGCTTGGATCACCCGAATATTCACCATAATTTGCCAGTTCACTTGCACCACCCAAATCACAGACTGTATCCCTAAAATATGGCTCGTAATACCTTTCCACTGGTGTGACTGAAGGTTGATGAAAAAAANAAAAAAAGGAGGCACTTGAATAGGATGAAACCCACTTAAGAGCGAAGAAGTCATCAAACTGAAGTGTATCCAATCTATTTTCCAGATGACTCAGATTCTCCTAATGTCCAATTTCCCACTAGTAAATAGAACAGAGACCGTGCACGTATCTTTTGCTCAAGAAGTATGGTGTCTGTCTTTAGTTGCAGACCGAAGTGAATCACATTTAAATGTTGATTCAATCCACTTGATAGCACTGTCCAATAATAAAATCCACCCAGAAAAGCAGCGTGATAATGAAATGCTAACGCACGCAAAAACAACCGATGCACCCCCGCCAGCCACCATCGTCCAAATACGTCCGTTGCGATTCAAAATCGTTAATTTCAACGACGCACCTGTCTTCGCATCCAAATCGGCGATATACTGCTCCTTAAGCGACCAACAAAACTTCAATCACTTCATCCAAAATGCTCATCAAAAACGATTCACATTCTATTATCACCTCATCGTATGAATACTATTTCAGATGGAAACTCAACTGGAAAATTATCACGAATCCACAAGCCTCACCTCACTCGTCAGATCTCTACCGAACGGTGCCGGAAAAACGACCGGATGACCAGTTCGTGTTTTCCATTTTTCCGAACACAAGAACAGAGCCGTTTCATCGAGTTTAGCAGCCAAATCAAGAATGTGCACTTTACCGTCCGCAACAACTGCAAGAAATATGTCGATTGATGAAAAACGAAATTCGAAACCAAAAAAAAAGATTTCCTCGAGAGATTATCTGAACACAAAATTGAAGGAAACTTTCCAAAGATATGATACCTCAAAAATAAACTCGACTGAATGACTGAGATTAAGAAAAAACGAGCGAATCAATTAGAAAAAACACTCACCAAGTGGATTAATCTCAAGATATGTGAAAAAATTCTCCTTATAAACATTGTAGAGTTCTTTGATAAAGGTTGCCACATGACTGCAAAAATTTTTAATTGATGAAAAGTAACGAAACGTTCGAATTTGTACATGTTATGAATTGATTGCAAAATAAATGAGTGAATATTAGAGTGAAAACACACGATTTCTTATCAGCTGGAACCGGATCGACCAGTTTTGCTAGTTCACCTTCGGGTAACGTCATCGATGCTTCATCAAGTTTCACTAGTACAATCAATTTACGAGCCTATAAAATGCACATTATTTCTTCAGCTAACAGTCTAGACATCTAAACCAGTTTCAAACAGTTACAATGCTATATTTCGAAGGAGTATTCTTTTCGATAAAAAAACATCTTGAGTAACAGTCAACGCAACACTGAATAACATTAACGAAATCAATTAATGACGTGAAAAAACATTTATAAATAATATGCAGAGTAGAGTCAGAAACATTCAGCTTACTATAAAAACCGATTAAGATGGATGAATCAGAACTATCGTAGAACCGATAATATCAAATCATACCTTGGTATCAATATCGCCAACATCGACACCACCTTTTTCGTAGAACATAATAATGTCATGATCACGACGACTCAACATCGCTATATACATTTCGTCATTTTGAGTGTGCTCAACAAACGGTTCAATGATGAAATTATGCAAAAGACCCGTTGTTTTGCCGATCTGAATTCGAAATTAATCACAATTATTCTCTATGAATATCACAAGTTAACTGAACATTCAAATACTGAACTACAGAAATTTCAAATATTAACTGGATTTATTACCTGTACACTTTTACCCTTATTCGCTCTATACCATTCATGAATCGTAGTCAAATCTCCACATTTCACGAGGCCATGCTTTCCGCGACGTTTTATCAACTGATCTGGTTTGATAACACCTTTCTGCAATTTAACTTTCCTTTCAACAATTAGTGACTAACGATGGACAGAAATATTCACGATTTCTGCTCTTCATATATGAATGCTTCTACGATTCAAGTGAAATAATTCCAACGAACCTGTCCTTGCTTCAGCCATACCGCACCACTGATTGCCATATCAAAATCATCGCCATCAGCTATTGTCACTGCCTCTGGTCTACTCACGAAATCCACATGTTTCAGTTGACGATATAGTAACTCTTTACCCGTATATTCGCTGACGGCTTTCGCAGACATAACTTTTACACAATTCTTTCGTTATCTGACTGCTGATTCAACGATGCGGCTTCAAATTCGTTAAAACTGCCACGTTTACTTGGTATTGTAATCAATTACAAACAGCGATTAGTCTCAACAAATAAACTAACACATTACAGTGCAAAATGAACTGCCACTCAAACGAATAAATAATTTAACAACAAAACCATCGAACAATTAAATGAATTACTGACGATGAATAAAAAATACGAATAACGAATAAATAAACGAACAACAAGCACAATAATCAAAAAATGGCGCAACATAAACAAATAAGAAACAATACGTAACAAAAAAAGAAATTACGAAAAAATTCAATAGATAGATTCAATAAATAATTCAATTCGAATAAGTAAATTCAATAAATATTCAATTAAATTCAATAAATTCAACAAATATTCAATTCAATAAATAAACATGCGCAGTCTTTCTTCTACAGTGAGAACGTCAATGGGTTATACGTTTCCCGAATTTTTATACGGGAGTATGCGTTCATAATGGAGGGATCCACGAAGAGGGCAAATTAATTCACGAAATACGTTAACTGATCAAGCAGCTAAATGAATGACGAAACTGACATTGTTAAATAACACAACCATCTTAAATGAATGATGCTAAAAGTACAAGAAGGAAAAAAGATTTTGTGTTTAGTCATTTACATAGCACTTACTAACAATAAACCAAATCACCCCACATACTGATGGTGAATACGGGAAAGCTTCAGCACTTAATGATTTTTACTGATAAGACAAAATCACACCATCACACTACTATTGTTTTGAATGCGAAACGAATTCTATCATTTAAACTTCCAAATGAAGTTTAAATGAACACTATAACTTATGTTTGTATAACACTATAACATGTATAACCCACAAACGTTTCAAAAATCATTCTTCGAAGCAAATTTTTTTCAACTCTCATTAAATCCGTCAATCAAATGTTGATAGTGAGCAGACGAGTGCACAGTGAAACGAGCACCGAAGAGCATTAATAAAAATGTTCTGCAAATGCATACATAATAAAAACGACTATCAACGGCATTCACTCAATTTGCACAGCATTTGACTTTTTTTTCAAATAGCATTTATCAAATTGATAAAAACACAAGTGTTACAACGTAAAAGCAATGAAGTCATCGCATTCCAAAGGTTCGATAAGGTGACACGAACGAAATAGCTTCGCAAAGCACTTTATAACTCCACAAAAAAAGAAAAGTAAAAGGACTAAATGACCAAAAGTTCAGAAATCCTGAATTATGATCACTTACTCGTTAAAAACTCCTCTCAATAAGCGTCGTCAGAGCATTTAAATTGAGTCAATTAGAGTTTATGGTTTCAATATCATTAACTTTTCAGGTGTAAATTCACAAAAAAGTTAACGGTATTGGAGACATTCAGTTAGATGATATTTACTGACACAATTCGGTTCGACAATATTTAATTTTTTCACCTCACTATAACTCAAGAAAATGCCGTCACATCTTTCTTCAAAAGTTCTCACAGTTCGCAAAAAGATATCTCATCTTTTTGATCCATTTTCGACTTCGAATAATTATTTCCAAATTTTACAATCGTTCGTCCATCGATTCATAGCCAGAATTTTGCGGTGAATTCACTCTTTTTACATGAATGTAACCCACTGGTTAAATGCTGTAGATAAGACTAAAGACGAGAGCATTTCTACATCGACCTGTTCGAGTTCCTGTCTCGGTAAAACATAGAAAAAGTTCAGTGACACATTTTTTAGCATTCACCCAGTCATACGTGATTTGAATTTATCTTGATTCATTCACATTTTTGTGACATAACCCTTCCATATAGAACTCGAAAGACCACTTTCAATGACTAGACCGGGTAGGTTCCCATGATGTCTTTTCTTTTTCAAAAATCTGACCCACTAATGGAGGAACAAGTTTTCCTTCATGAAACTTCTTTTTCCTCACTTATTAGCTCAAAGTTTTCCTTCCCTCCCGAATGAAAGTAAGGGCATCAAAATTGACGGAAAACCGCTGAACAATTTCGCTAAAGATTTGCTTATGACATTATTCTAGTTTCATACAACTGGAATCAGATAATGACAATGCTAAAAGATTATAAATGAGAATAAGGGCATCAAAATTGCCAGACCCTTCAAATACCATTTATAGACAGGTACTGAGTAGTTTCGGTGATATCTTATCCTCCTAGCACATTTCTGCCATCTATATATTATACATGCATATACATAGTCGTATATTCAACACATTCCTGCCATCTACATACAAGGTTTTATATTCCTTTACAAAAGAATTTCGTATTTCTGGATGCAATGAAATCCTTCAACGTCCTTTCGATTACATCTGGATTTTCAAACTGCTTCGTCTTCGGGAAATGATCAAGATGCTTGAAAAANAAAAAGTGGTAACCGGTCGGAAACAAATCGGCTGAATATGACGGATGAGTAAGAGTTGTTCAGTCCAATTCCTGCAGTTCAAGGATAACGTTTCTGATAATGTGTGGGCGAGCGTTGCTACGTAGCAGGACGTACTTCTCATTGGTGCGAAATCGTCATCGCGCTCAATATCAGAAAGGAAAACCATTGCAATAAATGATAACGCTTAAAGCTGAAACTACTCAGTGCCATCGTATGGTTTTCTCTGGTCCGACATTTTCATGTTTCATTTCTGAAAGTGAAACTTGATGATGATAGTTTATAAAGTGCGACGAAGATATCCAAAGAAACAATTACTCTTCTCGATTCCCTTGATGTTTACAATTATTCTCAAACTTGCGATATGAAAGTTTTCATTCCTTCGATCTTCATAATTAATATTCAAGCTTGAGCATTTATTATCAGAAAGTGTCCATATCAAAATATTTTCACTGCAATAGATTGACAATTTGCTGAAAGACATTGTTAGTTATAACCATTTCGTTTTACATCATCAGTTAATAATACTGATTTCTGCAATTGACCTTTGTAAAGGACACTTTATGATACAACAATGATATTATTTAGAGGCATAAACCCTTTACGTTCATTTCCTTAACCCTTATAATTGTTGTCAAACTGGGGTTATTATTTTCTGATCAAATTTGCTGCTCGCATTTTTCTGTTGCATGCTTCCCTTGATCCTTATAAACATTCTCATACTTGAGACACAATTATTCGAAGCAGTCCATATATTATTCGAAGCAGCCCATATCATAGTTATTTGGGTTGAAGAAGTGAAAATTTTGCGCGAAAAAAATGAGTTGCGATTAGAATTCTGAGAGAGACAAATCCTTCGCTTTCCTTTCCTTCTTCATTCAGTGTACCTCAAACTTGAGTCATTCAATCGCTGCTCAAGTGTAGTACTTTGTTATATATTATTCAAAACAGTCCATATTATATCGGTTGTAAAAGCAATTAAAAGAACAACGATTAAATGAAAACTCGTTTAAAATCATAGACGATGGAACAAACTGAGAATGCAGATGATAGAATTAACCTAACAGACAAGCCATTACGAAAATAATCTTGCAATTGACTCATACTGATATTATCTTCCAGTTAAACTCAAACCTATCATTACTAGCAATCGACTAGAGAGTTAACAGGGTTTAATAAAATAATACTCTTTTGAGTGCGATCAGCAACATGCATAAGTAATAAATTATGAAAAGTGAGAAAAACGAATGCATGATATTCAGTTACAATACTATAAAAGAGACAAACCCTTCAATGCCTTTATAATCAACTCAAACTNAAAAAAAATCAATGGGATAATGACTCATCATTATCGGTTCATAACCATGAATCGTAAGCTGAAAATGCAATTTGAAACATTTTAAATTGAAAGTGTAAACGCTATGATGATGAAAAGCCATTACAAAAAATAATCTCACAAATACATTAAATTGAGATCATTGTTCAACAAGGCTTAAAAATCGCACTTGGATAGATCGACGAGATCAGTTTGATGTAGTCTAAAAATAGCACTGTCTTAAGCGCGAACAGCATCAAAATTAAGTGAAAAAGTATATTTTGAAAAAGTACAATGCGATACTAATGGCAAGATATTCTAACAGAAAGGTGATGAATATTCTATGGTGGAATAATGATAAAGGCATAAGACAGCCAACATAAGATGTGACAGCAAATGGGTCAAAACAATGCAAATAGTCCAACAGGGAACGCAATATCAAGACCGTAACTAATAATAACATTTCCATGATCAAACGATTATCAGATCGATCTCGCATATCGATCGAAAGAATTCTTTTCATTTAAACTGTTACACTGCATTTTTCTCTTGACATCCTTACCACTTGCTCCGTCAAATTAGAACTACACTCCAAAATTGTAACACCATGCAAATATAAAACGTCTCAAGTCACATTCATCGCTGAAACACAACCAGTAATAATTTTCAAAATTCATAAGTGCACTATATTTAATGATGGAGAGATCCGAACACATCCTGAGACAGTTCGCGTAAAATAGAAACAAGAATATAAAACAAGAGCTCTACCACATAAGAGAAAATGCTCAAAATTCAGCTAATTGAAAATAGTATGGAAAATCATTCCAAAGAAAAGAATTCTGGAGATTTGGAGGGAAATTGAAAGGAATAAAGAGATGTCAGATGAAATAAGAACACTGAGAAGCGAACTCTAAAGGAAAATAAAAATAACATTGAAGTGCACACAAACGCTCGTAGAAATAAAACAATGGATGTTTTATTGGAAATATAAAACCAAAATGTTGATATTTCAAATGGATCGTGTGAAACAAAATGATATGATTTATCATTTCAAAACGATACGTTTTCCGACTTTTTCTCTTCCACTATATGAAGAAGAACGCGCAAGAAAATTCTAAAGAAGACTGACTTTAATCGAAATATAAGCGCATAAGGAAATTTGTTAAAATCAAGAAACAGATTTATTTTTACTCATCAAAATAGAAAACAATTTTTACGCTCTTAGCAAGTATGAATGCAGAAAAATAAATCATGAAAAGTATTCATACAACAATAGCTATTGAACACTACTCCTTTAATTTTCCGAATTTTTATTCTTCACCATATGAAGAACGCGCAAAAAATTCCAAAGAAGACTGAATTTAATTGAAATATAAGCGCACAATGCTGTTACTCCGACGGTAGTATTCTCGTCGAAGTTCGTTCATTAGGATTTTCATTCTGCGACTTTCTCAAATTTTTTTCAAAGTTAAACAGATAAAACAATATATGATCTGATTTCATTAATTGTAAGCAACTTTATTTACTCTCCCTTGGTGAGAGAGTAAATCTGATGAATTTCCAAAGGGATAGGATTTCACAGTAACAATTTCAATACGAAAAGGAAAGACAATATCACTTATCACTTCCCTTTCCGACGTTGATCCCTGCGAAATACAGTATTCCTTGACGATTCTGGACCCTCGAACACGCTGTCTGCTAAGAATCCTCGACATCCAAGATGGCTTGAATCATCTCGCAATTTCCTGTTCTGCGCAGCAACAACTGTGTTTGTTTAGTTAAGGGTCACAGTTTACCGCGGATATCCTGTTTCCCAACATTTTCAAACGGATGGCTGAGCTAAGTCCCGAGAGAACATTAAAAGAAACCCCTTGCGGGAACCGGTCCGATTCTACTTCTCAAATACTCGCACCCATCTGAAGTAACTTTTTACTCGGAAACATCCATGGGATCTCCTAAGGCGCAGAAGGCTGCCATATATTGGGTTGATAACATCACACTTTTGAACACCGTATACTGTCGTCGCCCCTGAGCCACATCAAGAGCATCAACCAAGAACCGAAGAGTACTGCAACTCTGGCCTGAGCCACTTAATGTAAAACTCTTCGAACTTCAGTCACTTGCACCCTCTCGTTAGTTCCGTTAGTATCTTGAATTCCACTAAATAATCCTCAATGCGAAACCACTCTTTCAAAACTGGATTACGAGCAGCAGCTTCCAACCATTATGCAACGATCAACCGAAAATATCTATCTAGGACTGTCATTAGCGCGAAAAACAGGAGCTAATACTTTCATCACTAACTGGTAGTCACATAAAATTATTTCGAGAGGATGAGACGCATTGAAGTCCAACCCCATCGCACAATCCATTGGAACGGCAGAAGCGATTGTCTTACAGAAATGCATTTCAATCTCCGCATGGCTGAGTCAACTTTCGCACACCAACTACTCTCCATTGGAAATACTGGATTCACTTGACTCATCATGCATCCAAGTTCTTTGTCATTCAGATTCTTGGGTACTTGGAATCAGATACACTACCTTTGCATGTACCCAGCAATCGCTGTGAATGGAACTCTCGCAGTTTTACGAGTTTCATTCTCGTCATCATTGTTTTCATATGCTTAAACGTTTTATCGACTTTTCCATAATTCACAGCATGCAGTTACTCCTGACCAAGGTTGGCTCGAGAGCGGCTGGACCGAATCTCTAAAGGGGTGCAACAATATAATTACGAAGACTTCAAAAGGAAAGAAGATGATTAAAATCACTTTCCCTTCTTCTTTGGATCTGATTGATTTGTCCACTGTCGATGACGCATTGGTTGAATAGCAACAACGATTGAATAATGTCGATCGATGAATCTTCTATTTTCTTGTCCAATCACTATTCGCTCAACACGCGGCCCAATAACGACTTCACTCAGCAACGATACCTTCAGTCTCCTCTTTCCACTTCAAACATCTTCCTTCAACAACAATAACTTCACTTCGATAATTACTCCTCAGCAACTTGCTTCTCACCGCTTTCTCAACCACCAATCCAACAATCTGCTAATCCAATAACAATTGGACAGGTCCACAATAACGCCGAGTCAACCGACAGTCCCAATACGGAGCCACCAATTTACTTGACAACAAATCTTCACTTTTCAACTAACTCCCAACAACACTTCTCCACAACAACCATTCTCAACAACAATCATCCATTTGAATCGATAATTTCCATGCAAATTATACACACACGATATAGCAGGACATGGTACTGCATCCTCTGCCTCGAGTGCTGGTAACAACTCCCAACTTTGAAGTTGAACAATGCCATAATCATCTCCTGTCCAAACTGGACCAACTGGTCTTTGAACTTGAGGAAATATCGCCAACACTTGCTGAATATTCAGTGAGATCCATATAGCTGCTCTCAGTTGCCAGAGATACTTCATTTCTCCATCAAAAAAGACCTTGCGGAATATTTCAAGGTTACATAGTACTCTGAGTTTATCTTCTTTGCTCATTAGAGGGTACACTTTAGTCAATATGTGAAAATTCCATTGTTGTTGGAGATTTATTATTTTTCCAAGATTCGTGAGTTTGTAATATGAAGACTTGAAACCAAAGTTCACTGCACTCAGAGCTTTTGAATCTTCAGTTCTGTCCTCAAGAGCATCCCAAAACAGGAAAAAGTATGTTGAGGCTATTGTTCATCACATTGTGCAATAGTCAGCCAAAAATACACACGACTATTAAATTTAGTTTACCCGGCATTGTTGTATAGTGATCAAATTATCATATGTGATCAAATTAGCATAGGTGATCTGCTGATTTGTGTATGATTGGTCGTCTATTGTCATAAATTTACATACAAACAAACTCTATACAAGGACGAGATTTTATCGTCTTGTCGTGTCGTGTCTTGTCTCGAACCTAAGTAAGGTCGTATCGTATCTTGGTTTCGTCGTAAATAAAGGATTCGTTTTCTTCATCGTCTCGGGTCTTATTGTCGCTCATCAGTGCAGCGACATAACAGACATACAATTCCATGCTAATCTCGAGAAACTTCAAACGTCTCATCTGGACGCCCATTTGCTTGCCTTCTTTACGTTGTCCCAACAATCTCAATTTCAATTGCTCATATTGGGACTTCCGACGCAACCATCCCGCTATTTCACTTCTTAGGATCTTGCTTTTCTTCACAGCAGATGTGTGAAACTGAAAAACGGAACAAAATGGATTGGAAACCACCGAGCACAAAAGCTTCCATAATCACATAATACAGCGCACAAATTTCTCTAATCAAAGTTCCCTTTGTAAATTATACAATCAACTCATTGACAACATCTTGAATAACTGCTAAATTCACATCACAAACCACTATCCTGTTGTTGAATCATATTTATCGCAAACACAGCAAGACGAGCGTCATCTTTCGACACGATTTTAATCGCTCAACTTTAAGACAGTCATAAACCAAACGGCTAGGCGGACAAAACAATAGATTCAGATCAACCTGATTTTGAGCAATTCGCCATCACCACCAAGCACTAAACCTTAGGGCCACTAAATCCTGGATGGGTTTATTCGCTGACGAGCTATTCGAATTAATCGAATATATGCATTTGAAAAATTTTTGATAAAACACGAAAAACAACTGATGAAGAGATTGCATAGAATCGGCCAGTTACAATGCGGATTATCAAGCATTGCTTTACAGTTTTGCAAAAGCATGACCGGAAAAGCGCTTCGACATTTCAAATTACCAGTGACAATTTTATTCCTGAATCTTCAAATAAACAGAAGTCTTTCCCATTCGCAAAAGCAAAATGATGAAGAGAACATACGAAACAAAGAAAATGTTAGCAGATGTACCATCCAGATGAAGTCCTAGGTTCCTTGCTGCACCTTCAAGTTATATGTGACTGTCAACTATGATGTCAACTGATTATCATCTTCGAACAAAAGTTTTTAACGAAAGACAAAAAAACGAAATATTATTTTCAACATAATAAACGAAAGACTCTTTAAGCTAAATCAATACGATTCTTTGTATTAGAGAAATGATAATGTGATGCATTAATCGAGAGCGCTGCAGAATATATTTTGAACGCACAAACTGAACTCAAACGTCGCATTTCGACGTTTCAAATTACCAGCGACCGTCTAATTCCTAAATTTTCATATAAACAGAAATCTTATTTCACTGGCAAAAGCAAGGTGATGGAGAGAACATGCGAAACGAACAGAATGTTAGCAAGTTCGGTTGTCACAAAGCACAAACAACCTCATGGGTAAACTTTTGGATAAAACTCATAGAAAAAGGCCGACTGAAGAACAAAACTGGCCAGATTCAGTGCCGATCTGCGTGATGCAATAATGTGCGGTATACCGTTCAGATCCTAAAAATGCCTAAGAAAGCAAAATAACGAGAANAGTAAACAAAACACTGCAAATGAGCGCAGAGAAGAGAAACCAGAAATAGTCAGAGATGAACAAGCCGCCATGCATACATACGTGCAATTTTAATTTCGCAACAATTTATTCAAATTTTCATGCATACATCTTGTTAAAAAACACATGAACTGAATTCAAACGCCGCATTTCGACGTTTCAAATTACCAGCGACTATCTATTATAATTGCTAAATTTTCATATATCTTATTGAATCCTATTAAGCTTTTCATATCTTATTAAAAACGCCCTTGTCGCAATTCACACCTTCAAATCTTTTTCTTGCTACATAACCGAAATCGGTAAAACACAACTGAAAGGTGCCTCTAGGTTAATTAACCAACGTTGCTTATCCTACAGGTAAACGTGTAAAAATTCGCAACTTGGAAACTTCGAATGATTTTCGTAATGCCCAAAACTTGACCACATTAGCATGAGACTTAACTTCACTCAATCCCTTCATTACATTTACTATTGAAAACTGACGAAACAGCTAATACACTGATATGTACAGTAAAATAAGTAATAAAACTTAATAAAGAAAAGCGAAATATAGACGATGTTTTATATTCTTGAAATTAAAAAGACTCTGGAAAAAACAAAAAATAGAGAGCAACGGAAATATATTCTTCAGAGTAATGAAGTTGCTGCCGTCTTTTGGCACATGCACGGAATAAAGGAAATATTCACGCGAGCGCTAAACTTTGCTATTGTAACACATGCCTCTGTAATTAACTGTGCACCATCACCTTACATATTCGCATCAATACGGAATTCTCATTGATATTGTGTGCAAAACAAAGTGCTGAATTAGTTAAATTCTTAAAATTTAATTCGAAATCTCTTTTCCCTGTGAAAATATGATTTATTAAGGGTAAATTCATTCCGAGAAGGTTAGTTGATGACCCTGTAACATGGATTCCCATAATCCGAGTAGTAGTAATAACGACAGACGATTGATACTAGCAATTCTACATTAATCGATTATATGTGGTGGTTTGCTGAATACCAAAAAAACTTTAGAGGATAAATACACTTAACTATTCTTCTGACTAACATAAATTTATTTATTCAAAAACTTACGACATCTCAAGAACAGGAACGATCATGTGGATGATAAAGATACCATTACAAGAAAAACCATGAAAATGATAACGTAAGAATTTATTTACGAACGGTCACAGATGAAATCATGAAATCTTTTATACACACAATGCATTGATTATCAAGAGATAACAGTATCAATCAGATAAATGTTCACGGTAATAATGACATTAATAATGAAAACAACGAAAATATTCACTGAAATGACCAAACTCTAAAGCAAAACAACTTGCGAAACATTACGAAACTTAACAACACTTACGAATCAAAAACACTTATTAGATACAACGCAAATTATTATTTAACGTACTGATTTACTCTTTCTCACAGGAACTTTAACATTGGAATCTAACTTCTTTCTTAAAACTGTCATCCATTAACGTAGATCAAGACAATTTCAACAGAGGATCAAGACCGAACAGTATCCCATTAATGACTTCAAAACTGGAAACCAATTGTTTCCTATGGTTTCCTATGGACACAGACAAAGCAATCATGAATTCGGAATAAAATATAATGAAAACAATGATAAGAATAACACAACGAAAACACAATACAGAGAGATACAGAATAAAAACAATGAAAATGATAGTTCCTTGGAAGCGATTTGAAATAAATAAAATTATTTTGTGATGAATAACTTTATCATATTCGATCATATCATTCTGAGCTATCACTGATATGATTCATGATAAACATTCATCATTTCATTTATCAGGCTAGACATGTCCCTAATTTGGCACTCTCGACATATGCGCCTCCATCCTATCAGACCTTCAGTGACAGCTTGACATTTGACGGAGACAACTGCAATTTTGGGAAAGGCGAAGGGGATAAACGCAGCGATCAAAAATCTTCAACGACCTGAACCCCTGCATTCGTAAGCGGAGTCCCTCCTGTGATCATCAAATGATTTAACTATATTACCTCTGATGATTTAACATATTTATTTTTATTTCTCACACAAATTTTAACTCTGGAACCTAATTTGTGCGCTTATCTGTGAGACTTATAAACCGGCGATGGGGATGGAGCTGCATATGATAAGAGTACAAAAGTGGGCGTTTAGACCCATTTTGATGGAATGTGCAAAATATTTTAATAATATGCAAAATCAAACAATCCATTCTCAAATCCCATTCAAAATATGTTAAATTCAAAATCTTAATGAAAGATGAATTCAGAACATTTTTGAAATTTGTCAGACGATGTAATAAAACATCTCCGTATATTTCTCCGATAGGAAAGTAACTTTAAATTTGTGTAGACACGAATATATTTGTCACATTAATATTCACAACAAACAGATCATTTAGGGTGTAAACGAAAGCATTAAAAAACTGTAGAATATTGATTTAACACCGTAAAAAACTTCTCGTTTCGAACGAATGTTCATAAAAGTAAAAACTTAAACATATATTAACAACTTTCTGAAATCACATTATCGGTGTTGATGACAAATTTAACTGATTTACTGATTACAACAAACAATGAATTATAAAAATAAGTAAGATCTTACATCTCTTAAGAAAGGGAAGGAAAGGAAAGCAAAAATTAGACTGATGGTCATCAGTAAATGATCATATCCTTTTCAACAGGAATGAAAACGACATGATAGGGACTATATGAATGAACATTTCATAATTATCCCAATATTCTCCTCACTTTTCAAGTCTGGTTACTTAATACGTATCGCTAAACACTGGAAGATGTGATAAGTGGAAAGTGGGTGACCCAGCTGCAACCTTTTTCCAGAGGGATGACTGATCGAAAAGGCCAAGAACCACGGCTTCAGATCGAACGGAAGAGCTTGACAAATGAGTCAACTTTACGAACAAACTCCAAAAAAGCATCAAAAAATCGAATTTATGAAAAAATTTCGACCCAATTTCCCCAGTTGCTTTCCAATAAAAGTTATTGAAGAATGCTTCTGATTGAAAAATGCTTGCATGGAACCGTTAACTCCACGTAAGTTTACGATGACAAAGTACTCAAAGATGGCACATTCAGAACAAAGATAAAACAATAAAATCTAAAATAACTTGAGAGACTTTCTGTTCGGAGAATATGGAAGACAAGTGTAATGCAGACCCGACAATTACTAGTCAACTAGTGAATAATGGATCGTTTTTGTTTCTTCTACAGTGAATATTTCATCTCCTTATTTCTTTACAACTATCTTGCCGAATCCGTCAATTATCAACTACATATTAACTATCCAATTGCTCAATCGTAGCAACCAAAAAACAAATACATAGCTACGCACTCTCCCTCCACAATGCAGACAAATTATTGTGAACGAATCCTGATTGCCTTTTGAAAACATCGAAAATTTTTCGTCAAATCGGCAAGTTCATTTTGACATTCGATAAATCACGTGCAAATGATTAACTCGCTTGTGAAATCTACATCTTTACCCACATTCACATCAATTCATATAAATATAATATAAATACAATGTTATGATATGATATTTAAAACTGATAAATCAGTGACGACGATATCATTGAATGAATTAAAATCCAACAAGGATTATGAAGAAGCGGCAATACTCTTTTTAGCAGCAATTATCAAATGATATAAACTTGCGAGTGGTTTAGCACATTTCAAGAAATGATGCGTCAACAGCTGTGAGGCTGAGTATCGTTCCTCAACACTCACCTCAAGCGCACAATCGATGAAATCACGGAAAGTTGGTGACAATGCTTCACGTGACGGAAAATCTGGCTTACCATTTGTCGCGATCAAGTATATGGCCTGAAACATACGTTTTTAGTAGACATAACATTGATCATTAAAATCTTTCATAATGTGCTCAATGGAGACAAGTTCATGTCATAAAATGAACAATAAGTGGAACTATAATGTGACGAAATGAAACGCACTCTGAGAGGATTTTCATTGAGATATGGCGGTTCTCCCTCAACCATCTCGATGGCCATAATGCCCAACGACCACACGTCCACTTTAGGACCGTACTGCTTTCGGGTCACCACCTCCGGTGCCATCCAATACGGAGTGCCGACCATCGTTGTTCGTTTGCTTTGCTCGGGACTTATTTGGGCACAAAATCCGAAATCAGCTGAAGAGTACATTCGATTGATAACACACTCAGTTACAATGCATAATATAATAATGCTACTAATCAATTTTTTCTCGACACTAATCTTTCCTTGGTGCAAATGAAATATTTTATAATTTTTATCACAAACAACTTCCTCAAACAAATTCCATTGATGAGATTTTTAAGCAAATTGTCAGCTGGCATCATCTGATAATTTTTCTATAAGCGATGAAAAATCACGAGCTCATAAAAATGGTGATTGTAAAATGGTGTGATCTTGTTCTTTTTTCTTGAAAATTATCAACTGCTACAGATCAAATGAATCATTCGCCTACTCAAAAAATCTCAAAATTTCACATCCTTGAATCACTACGCACAATAACACCCATCTGTTTGAGTATGAACTATTTCCGAAACGAAATGAAAAAAAAANAAAAAAAAACTAACTCAGTTTCACAGACCCGTCCATACCCAGCAAAATATTGTCAGATTTTATATCCCGATGAATCACATGGCGACTGTGTAAGAATTCGAGTGCTTGAAGTACCTAAAAATTCAAATCTGCCAAATGCGAATATGAAGAGAAAACACTGGATATAATGAATTGTTGCGTAATATGTACAATCAAATATTATCCACTTTGCGACTGAGAAATATTTGAATTTTCCTCTTAACATATAAATAAAAACACATAACACAAGGTTGTCATATAAATGACAGAAGATTCTCCTCTCTCCGGATGACATTATTTTACATTTAACCGGAAGACGGCTTTCATTTCAACAACAGCAACAAAAAATTTTAAAAACACAAATATCACACACCTCTCTACAAACAGCGGCGATCATACCCTCTTCCATTTGACATTCAGTTACAACATCTGTTAATGAACCTCCAGCCAAATATTCCATAACAACCTCAAAATCAGAAAATATTCATCTTAATTTCCAGCGGAATTCATAAATTCATTATCACACGAATGTGTAGTCACATGAGTGTAATGCTTAAGATCAATTTATGAAGTTTTCACTTCATAAGTTTCTTCTAAAAATGTGGAACGCAGTTTTCCAATAACGATCTTAAAGATCGCCGTCTCGGATATACGTCTCTACAATTTCCCTTGCGTTTGCACAGTCGCATAGCAATTGAAACGCTAACAACCCGGCTTAATTTACAAGGGTATTTCAATGACTATGAGAACCGAGTGCTTGGGACGGATATGAACCATGGTCGTTTAAATGCTGCGCTGACTCACTAACCATTCGACTACCACCATCTTCTTCCCCTCACAAAATTTGAGGTGAATTTTGACAGACAGCTGATCGTATTGATTTTATTCAGTTGATCGGAAATCATCACAAAGTGATCACTGTAGGAATGAAAAGTACAGTAAGCACGAAGATGTTTATGTATAAATATCGACTCACCCACAAATCGTCCCCAACAAGGTATGAATCCAAATAATTCACAATATTAGCATGTTTATTCTCACGCATCACCAAAATTTCATTGATAATCAACTCTTTTTTCGGTTGTTGCGCTAAATTCATTTGTTTGATTGCCACTTCTGCACCTGTGCTGATCTCAATTGCAGTAAACACTGATCCAGACGCTCTGAAATGCCTCCCGAATTATTACGATTCAACTCAAACACATCTGATGAATTTTGTTCGGAAATAACGGAATTGGACGAAAAATAACGAGCGTTTGATATTGAGACTGGATAGATGCACCAGATAAATGTAGTATAAAATTTCTTTGGAGCTCACAAAAAGGACAATCAAATAATCAAAAATACACCAAACTGCTATGACTACGATCAACGACTCATTACAACACTCCAAATATTGTCCGCACATTTCCTTCAGCACAAAGCACTCACCCAGATCCGATTTTTTCGACTTTTTGATACTTTCGATCCGGATTTCCGATCGTAACGATAGTCCTTAACTTCGCCAATACCTCCGCATCAGTCATCTTCTTGCGTCGAGTTCCAGCACTTCGACTACTTCCAATATTAAAACTACCGCCCAGCAATGCACTACTCAAATCTGTTTTCTCTTCTTCCTCCTTCGGTTTTGTATACTGAAAATTTCTCATGGATCACTAAATTGGTTCTCAAAATTCGCGATAGCACAATGAAAAGCCTTAATACTTCACTGAAAACTGTATCAACCAAATGAATCAGAGCATTCAACTCGATACATGTAGACCATATGAAGCAACGAATATTTATTTGGTACCCTTTCAGAGTAATAAATACAAATCTGATGAAAGATAATGAACTTTGCTTTCACTGTTTTCCAAACGCGAATCTTTCAAATACTCACAATTGATATGGTACGTGCTGGTCGATCGGGAATTGGAGGTGCAGGGGTATCGTCTAAGTCGTCTTCGGGAACCGATGGTGGGGTGTAACCCTAAAACCAGAAAATCGTTCAAAAGATCAGTAAAAATTTTACGTATGATAATAACTGACTGTATGGTGGATTTGTGAGTTTTTATTAGGTTAATGGCTTATGAATGATTTATTGTAACAACGTCTGTTAATTATTATTGCTACTATTGTTATGAATTTATGGGTTATGAATGGCTTTTAAATGATTATTGAGACGGATGTAACTGCCCTATGTTGACACAGAATACTACAGCATTTAACATTTCATTCATAATATCATTATGTCCACATATTGAATCATAACTTATTCTATAAATACTCACAATCAGAAGTAATCATCATAATGAATGATTCGATAAAATGGATGAATGCACGATATCAAATAAATAAAATGAAATTCGAACCGGAGGAATTGAGGATCGTTGTTCGTTGAGTGAAGAACTTTGTGATGAATTACTATTGCTACTCGATGATAAATGTGAACTACCAGGCAAAGGAGGATAGCCACTTTGCGAGGACATCGCACCCTTTGGTGGTAAACCCGTTTGTGAGCTGGATATACCTGCGATATGAATTATTCCTTTATGAATTTATACAATTATTATTTGACAGATAAATACCTAATGTTGATTGCAAAATTCATTGCACAAAATCAAATTTCTCTTTCTTTTCTGAATCACTCTCGAACAATTCTTAAAGTCGATACTACATTTCTTTCACAGCCTCTTTAATAATCTAATATATCCTCACCTTACTACTTTCATCAGAAGCACTTAATCACATGCAAACATACAGTAACAATGATAATTTTTAAAACAATAAATTCAAAAACAACTTGATTCGGAAAATAACAATCAGTAGGAATAATAGTTTTGACCAACCAGTAGGAATAATAGTTTTGCCACCGATTCCAATATAACTGGAATTGGATTGATAGGTTTGTAAAGAGGATTGTATATGAGGTGGTATATGATTCTGATAATGTCGATGGTTACTGACATTCGCCTGCCTTGGTAACGATGCACTCGAATATGGCACCATCACTGTTAATGAACCACTCGATGACGAGCAAACTTGTTGTCCTATACTAGGACGGGGTGACGTTCCTGAAATCCGAATATCAGGTTGCTCGGTAGCTAAGACGGGATGAGGAATCTCACGATCAGATATCATCAGAGTTGAGCAAAAATAAAACCGGCAAGGAAATTTTGAAAATTCGACGTTTCGAAACAAACCGTCATAGTTGGAGGATGGCTGTAGCCATTTTTGTTGTGAATCATTTTGCGTGAAATATTTGAGAGCATCGAGAACGGCTTGAGGATTCTGTTGCTGTTCTTGTTTGCTGATCTGCGAACTCTGCAGCAGCTGTGCCCACATTGGTGGCATACCCTTTAAATATTACATTCAAAAATTAACACTCACACAATAATATCCCTACAATCATCAGATGCATTATCACTATGCAGATCAATTTTCCATAAAGACTGATTATCTTCTGCGTTGATATCGTCAGTTGCAGGGAAAGAACTCCGTCGAAAGACGAAAAATTTGATGATATTCATGAGAGAATTATTAATGACTGTAAGGCATAAAATCGTCTCAGTACGCACACCGTCATCATTTTCCATAGATATAAAAGCAAAGACGTTTCTCGCTATCCTCATGCCCACTTCCCTGATGATAGCGTCAAACGCCGAAACATTGGAAGAAAGCACGCACGTATTTCAAGCTACGCACAGGCGATCTTTCCTTATTAATCGTAACTATCAGGGATACATCTAACACAAACGCTCACTAAAATATTCTAGCAGTATCCTAGAAATATTTAAAATAACTAAAATATTCTAGCAATTTTAGCATATTGGAATTGTTCAATACAACTACTCATACAATCCCCATTCACATGAAAAATTCGAATTATTATACCGAGAATGTTCACATTCATAAACAAATTTCAAACATTCAACATGAATACCGTCTACGAAATATAACTTTCATTTNAATCAGATCGCTTAAAACCAATCCAAAGTTGGCTCAAAATGAAGTGAAACATATTCACAACAGTGAACGACGGCAAACGAAATAACAATTATCCGTCACAGACGTCGTCGTTTATATTGAAAACAACGAAAGAATGAAATGAGAGCGTTGAATGAATAAATTTTGCGAAATAAAACAATAAATGAATGATTGAAAGACTGAATTTTATCGATAAATCGACAATGAATATAACGTTTTGTTTGCTCATTCTCTTTGCTCCAACTCAACCGTTTAACACCAAAAATAAAAGTACGAATTTATCATCTCAAAAAACCCGACTCGATCGATCCATAAAAATAAATCGAATCGATAAGCGTTTGAATTTGACTTTGCGATCGCTGATAATTTGATAAGAACCATCAATGATGAATGAATGGCACGGCACATTCGTTGGCGTTTAATAAACAATTTATGAGAGGAAGATGGAAAGAGGAAAAAAATGGACAGAAATTATAAAAGCGATGAATGACAAATTTCAAATTTTCAAACAAAAAACCGACGAAATCAAACTTCAGCTTCACAATTATGAGACAGACGGTACTGACGAAGAATTTAGGAAATGAATAACAGTCACAGTGATAAGACAACGATTTTTCGAAGTCTTAAGATGGACATCGAATCATATGTAATTTCGCATTGAGCCTCAAAAAATATAGCTGATAAAAACAATAAAACATTTGTCAGCAATAATGATATCATAACAGCACCTAACGTACCTCTAAAAATGAAACAAAAGCATCAAAAAACAAACCGTGAATTCGCCCGTTTGAGGATCATAACCAACATGAACGGTGTGTTCGAAATTACTCGGCAACGATATCACTGGCTTGTCGTTCGGTCGATCCTTCTCTTTTCCTTCTCAAATTTCATTCAATTTCATATTTCAATCTTTTAATTACATACAACTGAATTAAATAATAAATAATTCATGAATTAAATAAATCATCATTCATTTAATTACAAACTGAATTAAATAATGCAAATATTTTTGCATTAACTAATTCCAGCGAAATACCATTTTCTTGCAATTAATTTTCAACAGAATAGCGTGAAAAACAATGAAATTTTGAAATATCTCTGAACAATTATCGGATATATTACATCGTTTTCAAATGGAAACAACAAAAAATAGAACAAATGAGAACAAACATCGCTCATTGCAATATGAAGATGTAATTTGATATGCGAGTTGAGACTATTTTGAAGACTTAAACTGATGCAAAAATTCGATAAAACGTTGAAAATGAAGCGAAGAACAAAACAATGCAACACTATCACCCATCAATCAATTCCACGAGGAAAATTTTTTAAAAAAATGAATTGAATTCAGCGAACAACGAACTTTTTCCGCCG